AAAAAAAAGAAAAAAAAGTGCTCGAGACGAGATTCGAACCCGCGATCCTCTGTTCGACACCGCTGTTCGAGTTGATACTTGTTACTCTTGTTTCTAAAATTTAACAAACGCGGCTCGTAAATATTAATAAAACAAATTGCTAAGATAAAAATCTAACATGACTAGAACATTTATATTTCAGTTAAAAAATGAAAGAAAGGATCGAACCTTGGAATTCTGGATTATGGGTCCCCTGGGRTTGTGCAACTGCGACGTGGAAAAAATAAATAAATAAATACGCTGCATTTTATAACCGTGCCGCAGGGAAAAAGCCATTCCCTTTTATCAACAAGGAGACAAATCTCTAGGTCGTGCCGCCTTAAATACAGGGGTGAACATTGCACAAGATATGTTACAGGATAAAAATCTGAAAGACTCCGCTCAATCCAGATTCCATCAAACGGCAAGAAATCTGAAAGACGGTCTCTTAAATCGTATGACGGGAAGTGGTCGAAAATCTTTAAAGCGAAAGCGTGAGAAAAGCGTTAGTTCATCACGAGTAGTCAACGAGAAAAGATCTAAGAAGAAGAAGATTAATCCAAGAAARCGGAAAGGAACCCAAATAAAAGGGAAAGTCAAAAACYAATGGTGACGATATTCAAGTGAGTCAATCTTCGGGTACCTGCAGTTATAAAATCTGATTGAAACAATCCTCAACTACGGTTCAGATGCAAAGCAGAGTCATCTCATCGGAAGTCTGTTCTATAAAGATACAGCAGGGGCGATGGATGGAACAAATCCAACCACTGCAGGGACAAATGATGGTCTTAACCCTCTTATGACCCAAATTTTTCATGAAAGTCTCCCAGTCATGCCAAGTTTTGCATTCGGGAGGAAAAACACGGGTCCACATTTTCGGTACAAAATCATCGTTATTTTGATCATTTGATCATCAAAGCTCGATTCTTCCTCTGAATACTCAGAATTATCGCTAAAATATCGCTGTTTTCATCGCTGTTTCTTTAATTTCGATCAGACATCTAAAAACTACATATTTTCAACTAATTAGACAACAAGAATCATGCGAAAATCCTCCATATTTATTAGAAAATCCGCGCGATTTGCTCGAAAACTCACCACAAAACGATCGATGTTTTCACTTCGGTTTGACTTCAAAAATACGATGCCTCGATTCCATGATGGTTTGTTAATATAAACAAAGCTTTTGATTCGTCGAGAAAACAAAAGAACATGGGTTTTTGACCAATCAAAAGCGATGGCTCAAGTGGGCCGATCTAATCGGCCYTTGGCAAGTCTACGCATTTGTCGCGCGGCCGATTAGATCGGCCCTTGGTAGTTTTAGGGTTTTAAAAACAGATATAAATTCGCTAAGAAGAGTCACACTGTGGATTTGTTTGGTATTTTACATTGCGACATGATTTTTAGTGAGCGTCTCCTTTTGAATAATGTTGATGTGACCATTAAGTTAATTCCGAACACATCAGCCTTCTGTCCAGGGAGGCAAGTCCGGATTATAAAATAAGCATTCCAAGTGCAGTGTTGAAAGTGGGCACCGTGACGATTAGCCCTAGTTTGCAAGTCCATCAGTTGAAAGAACTTGAAAAGGGTTTAATAAATACTCTTGGGAAATCAAGTTTATTAAGTTCCCTGTGGAACGTGCAGGACTTCGGAATGAACCAGAGGAGATATCAGTAGTATCCCTTTATGCTTTGCGCGCGTGGTTTGTTGACAAAATGGCTACTATTTCCGGTGATATGCCGGGTAGTAAGTTTCCGGTCCAGAAAATTGTATTTTTTGCATCTTAACAAGGGAAGTCCCGAAAATATTTGCTGTCTGATTAATTTCCTTTGTATTTCTCTTAATTTTTTGAAGTAATGTTTGTTTTAAGTATGAGAAAATTGCTGTTTTGTAGTTGACATTCGCGGTTTCAATTTAAGTTATATAACATGACGATCGGTTCAAAAAAAGTGCTGTTTTTACACTTGTTCTTTGAGCTATTTAAGTTTTGTTAAGTCAGATCTATAGAAAATAAGTCATACGAAGCTACAGTCAAAAAAGTCTCAAAAAGTCTCCATGATTTCAAGTGCTAAACAGAGCTTGAAAACCCTTGAAATTTGCTAAGTTCGTGTGAGTCGCGTATCTTGATTAGGCGTAAGGTT